CACACCTGTCCTCCCCCCCACAGCCAATCAGCTAGAGGAAATCTCCAAGCGAATGGACACCCTTCTGTCCCAGTTCCAGTCCTGACCGGATCAGACCTGCTGCAGAACCCCAAAAGCCTTCAGGAAAGATGTCCGACCATCCCAGGATCTGTTTGTCCAGAAGTGTCTTACTTATCCTGTTTTTTAACTCTGAACTAGTGGAAAAAACCCATCGAATAACTTATTTTTTGCCCACAATTTTAAATGTTGTAAATGTAAGCAGTAAATAAATACTCAACACTTCTGATGCTGTCAGATGTTTCTCTCATTTACTTTATCATCAGTTTGGAGATGTATTCTTCATCATAAACAGCAGGGGGGTCAAACTCCAAAACACAGGGGGCCAAAATTTAACACCTTAACAAAGCCAAGATTGAACAAATGAACCTTTTGATATGGAATGAAACGGATTTAGCTTTAACATTGAATATGGAACAAGCAACTCTTATTACATTATATATAATTTAATAGTGGAGACGTGCTAAATCAAATTTCAAATAAAAAAAAAACACATCAATGGCATTCATTTATGAAATAAGATGTTAAAACATTTTTCTATTCGCAGCTTTCTGAATTAAATATCTAAATTAAATGTTCTTGTCCAGAAAGCTCCTGTTTCTTTCTTTCTTTGGTCATTTTTGGGCAGCAGCACAGTGACAGCTGTAGTGTGTAGCTACTGTCACAGAGGAGTTTCTGGGTCCTGAACAGCAGCAGGGAATTATGGGAGTTGTAGTATGAACGGTTGGTGTAAAGTTGGTCTGTACAGTATAATACCGTGGGCCAGCTCTCGGAGTCATTTGGTATTGTCTCGCAGGCCAAATATAATTAAAACAGAGTTTGACACCCCTGATATACAGAAAACTGTAGACTCTCCTTTATTAAAAACCAGTCATGTGACCACTAAAATCTTGACATTTACTTGTGATGCTTATATTGTTTTATTATATGTTCTTTCTTATGTATTTGCCTACCTAGGGACTACGGAAGAAAACTACCTTTGTAGCTATAATCCGGCATATTTACATTTTTTTGTATACTGATGTTCATTAATGTGCTTTGTCCCTATTCAAATAGATAAATAAATCAAGAAAAAAATGAAAAATTAAATGACTTTCTATGTGGAATGAGTTTAGCTTTTAATTAATAATAAAATCAACACAAATCTGGGTTGTCTGATTTTCTGTTTAATGTCACACTGGTACAGAAGTATTTACAGTTAATCAGCATTTTAAATCTCTTTAATTTGAGTTCTTTGACATGGTGGAAGCCTCCTTCTGCTCTTCCTCAGATCCAGGTTTCTGATGGTCAGCGTACAGAGTTTGTGGGTCTATCCGGTCCATCAGAAGCCTTTACTAAGCAACCAGTCCTTCAGCTCCTTGTCGAAGTGACCTTTGACCCTCAGCGTCATGGTGACCTCGTTGACCTGGGTGGGCTGCTCTCTGCCCGTGACCCCCCTCAGGTGCTCCCTCACGTCCCGGTCCAGGGCCCAGATGTCGCCCTCCACCTTCCGCACCAGCGTCGTCTTCCGGTTCCCGTGCGTCAGGTCGGTGTACACCGGGATGTTGTGCATCCGTGAGCGGTGGATAAAGTACGGAAGACACGGAGGGGAACCGGCCGGAGGGGCCCAGCCCGACGGGGCGGGACCGGCGTATCGAGGCGGGTCCGGGACTCTGGATGGCGGGATGAGCCGCTCCACGAACTTGTACTCCTCCGTGGACTCCACCAGGCCCGGTTTATGTTCTTGGGAAGCGAACCTGAGCCCGGTAACGGAGGCCGATAAGGGGGCACGCAGGAAACATGTTCCGCGGAGCGCTCCGCGGAGAGACGCGGCCTGAAGGGTGAAGCGCGCCGCCATCTTGGATTGACCCGGAAGAAGAAA